AGGATTGGTTGGGACCACTATTGGGTTTAAACTTTTGAATGATAAACTGATTTTTGCTTTTTTCCTAGCCATATTGCTCGGGTGAGCGATGTGGCCCATGGGCCTCTTGTCTTAAATTGCTATCGCAATGTGATTTTTATGTACATGTAGTTTTTGCAATAAAATCATCAATTACTTCAAAAATAATTAAATGAACAAGAATCAAAGAAATTGTTATACAAGTTAGGTCACTATAAAACTGAATGTGTTCTTATTGCACATTATATTTTGCATAATCTTATTTTGTGATTTAATTCCATTTTTGGGGGTTGAAAATATGACAATTTTTAACATAATGTTTGTTTCCGACTCGGGGTAGGTACGAAAATCTTTTTTTCCAGAAAATTTATAAAATTATTGGTTCGTGTCCTTGAATGTAAAATTTTTAGCCAATCGCTAGAGAGAGGTCAAACATTTGTTTAAAAAAGATGATTTATATAAGCCTGTCCACAATCCAGACATCTTGAAACAAATTTGAAACATGATTTTCGGCATCTTTTCTGATGTTTGAAGGATTTATGCATTACAATTCTATTGACATTAAATTTGTTGACATCACCCTTGACGAAATATCCGGCATGCAAATATTGATTATGGAAATAAACTCATTATTTTGTTTTCATGGAATACGCTCAACACCTCGCGGGCCATCTTCAAATAAACCCATCGGAAGTGAGACTGTCAAATTAGCTTTTGAAAAGTTTCGTAAATGGTAGAATATAATTAGAGGGTCAAACAATAAATCTCGTACACCGCAAGAAATGAAGTTTGCGTTATGGTATTCCCAGATCGGAAAAAAAGATAAGTCGATGTTAAGTAACTCCTCTAGGGTTTAAAAATACCAATTATTACGTTTGTCTATAATAGTGGTCTTCTTGGCGTGGCATTTTGCGCCAGATTTGTTTTGTAAAGGGTACAAAATTGCCTTGGAACAAATACCTCGAACAATTCAATCTAACACGAATATCACCAAAAGAGTGTCATTTTTAAGTCATCTGAGTTGACTCAGGTGACCTATTGGTATCTGTTTTCGTCCGTCGTCGTGCGTCGACCGTTGTGTGTTAACATTTAAACATTTTTAGGTTCTTCTCTGAATCCACTGAACTGAAACAATTTTGGCTATAGCGTATATATGGATGAAGGGAAATAAGAATTGTGTATTTCAAGGTCCCTTTCCCCTGAGGCCTGAGGGGTTCTTTAAAAATCTTCTTTACTCCAGGACATCAAGCAGCCAAACTGTTTGCATGATTGTAATCAGCATTGAGCCCACCAAGAAAAATTATGTTATCCATGGCCCATGGGTCAGGGGTTCTAGTGTAAGGGCGGGGCTCCATAATGATTATATTGTAAAAATGCACAAATTCTTTGAAAATCTTCTCCTCTGCTCCTGGGATTAAGCCAATAAACTATGTACATAGTTATGATAGGGAATGTTACCTCTTCCAAAATAAGTGATTTTCATGGCTCCTGGGTCATGGGTTCCAGTGTTCCAGGGCAGGAATCCATTTATTATTTAAAAATCTCCTTTATTGCCGGGTATTATGCTGATGATCTAAGTACAAGGTTATGATGAGCAAATTTAAAGGTCTTCTTCCAGAATTGTGAATTTCAAGGCTCTTGGGCAGAGGTGTCGGGGGGGGGGGGGGTTCGCTAAGGATTATATACTGGAAATGAATTAAAGCTTTGAAATCTGCCATTTGTTGGTATTAGGGCTAATGAAACATTTACGATGAGCAAGGGTGTCTTTTCCAAAATTGTGAAATGTGTGCACGTGGGGTGGGGCACTACTAGCTGATTATAGAGTGAATATGCATGCTCTGTCTCTGGGTGTTAAGTAATCAATGTAGTGCCTCTTTCAAAATTCTGAATTTCATGGCTTCAGGTCAAAAATACAAACCAAATTCATTTGTTGGAAAGTTGTTACAATACTCAGATGACCTATAAGGCCCATGGGCCTTTTGTTTAAAAAATTAAATTGTAGATTTTTCCCTAGATAATAGTGAGTAAAAGATATTCTTTTACTAGGTAATTGCCCTGATTGATGATGGATATGACAAGACGGACAATTTTTATGCAATTTTTTTTTCTTTTTTAAGGACAGATGATACAAATAAAATATGGATGCCTGGATTGGTATATATTTTTTGGCCTAATTTCATTGCAAATGATGCAAATAATAAATTTCTAGAATATAAAGAAATTGTAAACCTTTTGTGATATTCAAAATTCTGAATTTCTGAAACCATCCTTATTAATGTATAAAAATATTTTTCACTTCAAATTACATTTTTGCGAAACTTTGAATAAAAAGTTAAAATCTACGCGGTAAAACTTATTCATTTTACTCATTAAAACATGACACAAGTTGTTATTTTCAATTTTTTTTCAAAAAAAAAATTGTTTGTATCATCTGTCTTTAACGTGTTTTTTTTCAAATTCTCCTGCGAGAATTTTGTAATATATATATATACATGCTATACAGCGTACAACAAATTTCTATCCAAAGTTATCAAAAATTTATATTTTTAAAAATCCCTATCTTCAGTTTTTCTTTTAAACAATATTCATGTATTTAATATTGTTGCAATTTTAAAAGATAATAATTAATTCAGATGGACTTTCTTCCTCTTTAGAAAGCACAAAGAAACCTAACAAAACTATATGTCCCATGTTTCGGATATACTATATAGACACCAGGTAATAAATAGAAAGTTTATAAAGCCCAAATTAATTTAGAAAAATAACTTTTTATATTCTTCGCACGTATGTTTTGTATCTTACCGGTACCCCCCAAAAGAAGAGAGAGCCTTGTTGGAATGGTTATTAAAGACCCAATGTTTCTGTCTGAGGAGATGCCATTAAATATATTCGCTAATTTGGACCATTAAAAGGGTATTATTTCGAAGAATTGTGCCAAATGACTTGAACAAGAGCACAATTAAGTTATATTTATTTATTATTTTCTTCTACGGGCTGAGCGTAATGACTTTAGAGAAGTGTGATACAGTTGACATGGAACAATTTTTGTACAAATGGATAACACTGTTATTTTCAAAGAGCGAAGGCTCTTTAGAATTAAATTCGTCCAGAATCTATAGCTAGCCGCGTTTTAAGGATATCAGAGATTTAAAACATTAACCGATTTCTTTCCGACTCGGATTTAAATACATGTATATACCAGAAACAGTTTAAAGTCAATTTAACCATAGAAACATGGTCATATTTAAGTTTATAATCGGTGAAAATTTTTGATTCGAACGTAAATAACAAATTGTAAATCTAGACTTATTTTTTTTAGCTTAGATACGATATACATGTATATAGCTTTAAGACATGGGAAAGATTACTTTGTATGTCCCCTTCGAGCGATTTTTGACAAGGTTATGCCCCTTGGACTTAGAAAAATTCCAATTTTGACTTTAAAGATTCTTATTTTACGTGGCGATGATATATGTAGCAAAGTGGAATACAACTTGTCCAATAAGTAAGGAATCAATTTTAACGTACATGTTATGGTTCGATCCTGTAGGTTTATTTTTTTTTTATCAAACAAAATGATTAGTTATTTATAAATAGTATGATTTTAGTCGTGGAGTTTTTGATGTGAAGAAAACTTTTTTTCCCACAAAAAAAAAATCTCAAAAGAGACGTTAACCAAAAAAAAAAATTCAATATTATGTAAACTTTTATATAGATCACGTACGCGTTTAGTATGCCTACTTTTGGTCAGCCGAAAATATCGTCTTTTAAACTGTGAATGATTCTTACATTTTGATTTCTGCAGATTCCATGCCGAATACGCCTTCTTTGCAATCTGATTAGTGTTTTAATTAGAACTGATATCCAAATAATGTTTTTTCGCTGTTTGGTTTTATAACAAGATGGTTCTCAGACCGAATAGTTGCAAAGAATGTTATTAAAGATGTGAAATGCATTACTGGAGTCAATTATTCTTGTTTAAAGTAGGCATGATTAGAGCGCATTCTTATCCAACATAGGGACTTAAGTATTTCCTAAGTGACATCAAGATTCGTAAATTCTGTTTTCTTGATCCTTTTCACATTGATTTTCCGTGATGCCTACAGCAAAAATGAAGATGAAGTGGATCAGAGGATTACTCAAAGCATTGTTAGAGTCGCTCTGACAAAAGCGCCGAGTGCCCTGTCCACGAAATCTCTATTTCGCTTTGCTATCAAAAAATTAAATGGCTTCAGTTCATATGTCACATATAAAAAGAGTAAGGTTTTTTAAGGAAAGTACAAAAAGGTCTTGACTTTCACTACTAAATTTGGCATGTTTTGAACAGCCTACGAGTATATGATTTAGCTGCGTATTAACAATATAATTGAATAATAAGGAAAATAGCAAGACTAAAATTAATGTATTTGTATGTTAAAGTTCGCACTATTTTGCGTCTGTCTCGATTATAATGGGAATGGCAAAGGCTTTTTCTTTTAGTTTGGAAAACCAATTGAAAATTTGCCCATTTAATTATAACACAAACAATCAACATCAACTTTACATTTGTCGTCGAGTAATGCATACAGCATCAAATGAGATACTTGAATCATATTTGTTATACATATGCGTTTTGTGATCTACTTTTGGCCGTGATCTTGTCTCGTGTATTTAAGAATTGACACATTTCCGCACGATATCGCCGAAAGAACCTCGTCAAGAATTATCGAGACACTCATAGACCAATAATACGCTAAAGCACGAATCTCAGTTTCATGTAATTCAAACCATAGTAAAGAAGATGGTAAACATTATATTACTCCTAATGCCTTGATTATATCCAGCTGTAATTCACAATTTTCGCCCCCTGGTGCTTGATTGATATTGTCCTATTGAAATTCCTTTTACTTATGATTATGTGTTCTGGTCATGCCTATTATTATATTTTCTGTCATGGTTCGTCTCAATATTCATTAATTCTCTTGTTTGTTATTTTATTTCAGTGTCCGCTAACGAGGTAACAAACACTTGGATGGACGATGTCACCTCATTCTTGGATACCGTTTGCACCCGATTTTCCCCTGACATCTATTTGTTATAATTTGTGCAATTTTTGACAAGAGTTGTGCAACATCATTTAAAGGCTAACATAATTAAGACTTTGCCTGAAAAATTGTCCGTGTTCCTTGTCATCTAGAATCATCTCGATTTTGCGCACAATAATAATGAACTATTCTGATGTCTCAACGTTTTCCGATATGACACTTAATATTTCTGGCCCTTTGTCCACCGACACTACAGGATCAGACATGGGAGTTGTGAGAGGCATCAGTGAAGTGCCAGAACTGTTAGCCTTCCAGAGCCGATACCAGATAATTCATGGCTACCTTGCACCAATCATCTGCATTTTCGGTGTGGTTGCAAATATTTTGAATATAGTTGTATTGACAAGGAAGAATATGCAGACTTCTACAAATGTTATTTTAACTGGTTTGGCTATATCAGACGGTTTAACTATGGCTGCCTACATTCCATACGCTTTATTGCTGTATGTAATTCACGGAACTAGAAGTACCCCAATCCGAGATTCGTACGGGGTAGCTCAATTTCATATCGGGTACGCATTATTTAGTGTTGTTGTTCACTCTATATCAATCTGGCTAACGGTTACTTTAGCTTTGTTTCGATATATTTTCATTCGTTTCCCTCGCCTGGGTGCGCAGTATTGTAACATTCATAAGGCGAAGATCGCAGTCGTGGCAGTAGTTATAGTTGTCTCACTAGTATGCGTTCCGTACTCGGTAAATTTTACAATAGGAGAACATAATTTTACGGATCCAAATGGAGTGATACCAAACGGAACAACCTACACCATACAAATGAAACAAGAGAGTGAGTTTGAAAAGATATTGTACAATATAAATTTCTGGATACAAGCTATCCTTATTAAACTCCTACCAAGTTTCCTATTGACCATTTTTAGTATTCTTCTGGTGAATACCATGAGAAATGCTGAAAAGCGAAGGAAGAAATTGTTAAATAATGTCCCCATGTCGGATGAGAATGGGGCCACTAGTGCTAGCAGCACGACGACGGCATCACGGAAGCAGAAAAAAAGTCGCAGTAACCGGACAACCAAGATGCTCCTGGCAGTGGTAATTCTATTTTTACTTACAGAAACGCCTCAAGGGATCCTCAGTGTTATGGGTGGTCTAGACGATAGTTTTTTCATGCATATTTATCTCCCCTTGGGGGATTTATTGGATATAATCACATTGATAAACAATGGAATTAATTTCGTTTTGTACTGCACCATGAGCAAACAGTTCAGAGACACTTTCTTGAAATTATTTCTCAAAAACGTTCTTCATCAGGAATACCGGCGGACCAAAAACACTTACACTGCGGCTCAAGCCACGCAAGCGACCAAAGACTCCGATGTGTAAACTTTGTTCTTGTGTAAATGCAAAACTGGTTATTTTTGAATATGTTAGACGTTGCGGTGAGTTTGTTTTTTTAAGTATATGGTGTAGACAGATTGTAAACTAAGTTCATGTTTACATGTATTCCTTATTAAAAGCTTTATCTGTATTAGAAATATTGAATGCTCAAGCCTTCATGTAATGTTCGTATCCATTATCATTTTTATATCGACAATAGAAAATGTAAACCCCTTTTTTCATTTATTAATCCATGCTTTTACGAAAAGGTTCTAAATTCAGAAAATGATTGAGAATTTCTATTCGGTTGTTGATGGTAAATTAATTATATTTTTCCTGCGTTGGATTACATCCAAAAACTTTGATGGGTATTTTTGTAATTCTGAGAACAGAATCATTTTTCATGCAACCAAGTCAAAAAACCATAAAATCAGATACACTGAATAATTAATTTCATTTTAACATTATTCAACTGATCATTAACAGAGATCAATCGTGTCCAACATATCTCATTTCCTTTACTTTAACTTTGTTTTTGTAATCGACAAACTTAATTATCTTTTTGTCTAGACATGATTGAAAAGATTTTGACTTTTTCTGAAATGTCAGACGTGTTCTGCAGTTTACTTACTTGCAGATTATTTTGCTACTCTCTCAAATTCATCAATTTATATCACGCAAACAGACGGGCCAATCTGTGCTCCTCTTAAATATTTTGTTTTAATGTTTCTATGTCTTGTGTTAAAAAACTAAATTAAATGTTCAAAGATAAATCACATTGTGTTGGATAATTATCATTTTTTATTATAGCATTAGACCCTATGTGCTTTGCGCCGAAATCAGGTCGGGTTGAAATATCTGCAATCTTTATATAATTCAATACTGATTCCTTCACTTTATATTGATAAAAGTGAAAGTAATACATCAATAGCTTATTTATCACTATCAAATGAAAGAATTAACCGGGACATTTTTTTTTAAAGTTTAATAAAACGCATTTTCCTTTCTAATGAAAACTGTACATATGTATATATCTCTGGGTTCGCAATTTAGGTTTAAGAAATTGAGATTTAATAGATATGAAAAAAAAAAAGAATATATACATTTTCCGCTTTGGATTAATTTAATTTCAGCTAGATGATACCCTGCGCAAGCGCGCGGGAAAAGTTTTTCTAATTATATCTTCTTTTTTTTTTACTGCTAACAGGAATATTCCAAAAAGCATTTTTCAGTTTCTACCGACAGTTAGATATACAGGCTTATAGCATGACGAATAAACCCCACGGTTAGTAAAGAAACAGAAATAAAGAAGTGTAACATATGTACACCCCCCCCCCCGCCTTGTTTACATGTAACTTAAATAAATTTGCATTTTCTCTTTACATGTTATAAAGAAACTTTATTTTAATACCTGTTGCACTATGTTATACATCTGGTCTGGTGTTCATTAGCGCTTCATGAAAACATGTATGCCGGCGTGTAGCGTCGTAGTTCATAACCTCATGAATCTTCAAAAATGAAATTCATTTCTTATATTTACATTATTTTTCTGATGAGTTGCCATAGATTTACGCCATTGAATTGTCATTTTCAAAGCAAAACAGATTGCACCATATTTTTTTGACGTCGACTGCGGTATAATGACCTAACAATGGAGATATTCATGCTCATTCATGGTAGCTCATGAGAAAATGAACTATTCTATTTTGTAAAGAATCATAAGGGAAATTTATTGGAAATTTAAATATTTATACAATAAAATGCTTTCTTTGTTTGTTATTACTGGAATTAACGGAAGCAGCTGTTGCAGAAAAAATACATAATCCGCGTAAGCGGGTTATGTAAATTTTTTCTGCAATAGCTGCGACCGTTAATTCCAGTAATAACCAAGAAAGACATTTTATTGTTTATATTTATATCTGTTTAAATAATCATTTAAAGAAGGATTAAAAAGTTTAATCATTGTATTAATGATGCGAACGTCTTTATACGTTTCATTGATGGAACAGCCAATGATCAAGAAATCTGTACAGGCGACATGCCTAATGTATCTCATGCAGTGATTAACGCAACGGGTTTTCTTAAGAAATAAAGGAAAAATTATTCATTGGATGCAAATATTGAGATTTTCTCTTCACATGTTAAAAACCTTATTCAATATCTGTAGAACTATTTTATTGCCTCTTATACTTCAGATACTCTGTTTACAGTTGCATCAAAGATAAAAAAGCAAACGTGCAAATAATGTTCATTTTTATGCGCCCAGATCAATAGATCCAGGGCGTATATTGTTTTTGTCCTGTCTGTTTGTTTGTTTGTTTGTCTCGAACTTTAACCTTCACCATAGCTTTTGAACCATGAAAGATAGAGACTTCATATTTGGTATGCATACTCCACTAATTAAGGTCTTTCAAAAGACACCAAGGTCAATGACCTTTGGACCTCAACTGTGGCGTAATGCTAAAAATAGCTTTTTTCTGCAAACTTTAACCTTTGCCATAACTTTTAAACCATGAAAGACAGAGACTTCATATTTGGTATGCATACTCCACTAATCAGGTTCTTTCAAATGACACAACGGTCAATGACCTTGCGACCTTCACTGTGACCTATATGCTAAAAATAGCTTTTTTGAACCCTCACTATAACTTTTGAACCATGAGAGATTATTTGGTACGCATACTGGACTAATCATTGACAAGCTCTTTCAAATGACACCAAGGTCAATGACCTTGTGACCTTGACTGTGACCTTAATGCTAAAAATAGCTTTTTCCGAACTTTGTTGCCGCCGGGCGCATAGTGTTTCACAAACACATCTTGTTTTAAAATGAAATTTGACTAGGTATTCACTTAATATGTAAACAGACTTAGTAGGTATATACATGTATAGGTATTTAATACAAAAGACTGTATGTACAAAAATCACTGAAATTTACCTATGTTGAAAACAAATAACCATAGCCATTAATTGACATTAATTTTTTTGTAAATTTTATTATCACTTACTTTCAATATATAGATATATTAATAAACTCATTGTGTTACTTATTTCCATGCCCATTCATGATGACCTCTATGATTTTCTTTTTAACATTGGGTTTGATACTATCTGACATTCTAGAACTTTCAATAAAGAGTGAAATCGGACATAAAAGGAAAGGATTTGCACATTTTTGTTTTTTTTTATTAAGTAATCGCGGCTTATAAACTTATTTCTTTTATATCACTTACATCAAGTTTTGATTGACGTATTCATTTATGAAGTTTCATGAAATAATTAAGCGCTTGCTTGTTGTCAGTTTCATTAAACAATGCAAGTGTCTTAGATCCGCCAACCGGAAACACAGCCGTTCTCTCTTTTGTGTTATTTTGAGGCTGAAATTGAAAGTAGACTTTTAATTAAATGTACGATAATTACTATGCGAGTGAAATCTGAATATAAGTTACGGACATCATCTTATACGTAGCGTATTCCTAGAGGAATAAATAAGAACGCTAGTACAGCCGTTTAAGAGTTTATTTGCAAAATTTATAAGTATAGATTTATTTTGTAAACAACGTACATGTACTTAAGGATTTCCATCCCTAATAGGACCATGCAAATTCTCTTCTTTAAATTTCTATCAAGTACACAGCACTCTGATATTAAATTAATGCATGTTAGTAGTAAAGAATGTACTGAGAGAAAATTTTCCAAAAATTAATTACCTAAGCAGTAGTTAATTAACCAAGATTGCATTCAAGTCTATTGGGGAAAGCGATTTATTTAAAAAATAAAAATGCAAATAATAAGATTAGGAGACTTATTGTACAAAGAACAATTTTCAAGGTCATAATTTAAGACATATCTCACCCTTACATTCTAATACAAATGTAGTAATAAATGGTAATTGTGTCTAAATATACTGAGTATTCAACATTTACATATCTGTTCTGCATTAATTTTCACTGCATTTGTTCCCCCGAATACCTTAAAAAAAGTGGGAGGGTATATAGTAATACAAGGCAGTATTCGACATCGATCCCGATACAAACTAGAGGAACTGTGAGCAATAAGCTCACTAAATAATACCCCCCGCCTCCCATATGAATATAATGGCAGTATCCATGTTTTCCTCTGGAAAATCCAAAATATACGCAAAAAGTAAAATAGGAGGTGCACAATGGCAATATGTAATAAAGATTCCGAAAGTTTCATCAAATCCCAGTGGAATGAAATTTGATGAAACTTTCACAGAATCTTAACGATTACTATATTGCCGCTTTTGCGGGGGTATAACCTCCTATTTTACTTTTTTATACCCCCCGCTTGAAAACACATATTTTGTATGTCCTTCCCTGTCTGCCACAGGAAAACATGGACTTTTTCACCAGAAATTTATAACCACCCATATGGGAGAAGTTGGGGGTTTTTACTCTGTTTCTTATTATTATTATTATTATTATTATTATTATTATTATTTTTCCTCTGGGAAAAGTTTTCACTGCATTTGTTACACCTGACTTAGGTGAAATAGTTAATACCTTAAAATTCAGGTCAAGTGGGCTTGCAAGAGCGCGGTGCAACACGTAAAATGACAAATATAATGGATATTGCCTTAACTTTTCTATTTTTTGATGAAATTTTTTGAAACTCATAATGTAATGATACTTTGTGAGCAATAAGCTCACAAAATAAGATCTCACGCGCATGCACTGCGCTTTGCTCTGATTATGAATATAATGGCAATATCCATGTTTTCGTCATAATCCTTTGAAATTTTGAACATAAATATATGAAGATCTACAGCATGATATATAAAATTTTCATGAAAGCATGCGCATGTGCGCGTGCTGCACTGATTGGCTGAAACTTTAAATGGCTATATCTCCTTTGTTTTTCGACGAAATTCTTTGAAACTTAAAATATAGTCATGAATTATGATATCCTACAATATGATATAGAAAAAATTCATGAAATCACGCGCATGTACGTGTGCTGCAATCTGATTGGCTGAAACTTTAAATGGCTATATCTCCTTTGTTTTTTGACGAAATTCTTTGAAACTTAAAATATAGTCATGAATTAGGATATACTACAATATGATATTAAAAAAAATCATGAAATCATGCGCATGCACGTGTGCTGAAATCTGATTGGCTGAAACTTGAAATGGTTATAACTCCCTTGTTTTTCAACCAAACAGGAGTATTTAAATGTACGTATGTAAGGGATTTTTGATCATCATGCACGTGCACCGTGCATTTGGAAAAGTAAAATTAAAAATACATTTGAATGAGTGATTTTTATTACTTTTGGTAATGCTTTAATATACAGTATATCAAAATATATAGATAGGCCTAGTGTAGACAAGATGATATGGTCATACGCACATGCATTCACTTGAGTGCAATGCTAAAATTTGAATATACCACTGGGAAAATGTTGTAAAAGTTCAAAAATGAAACTTATTTAATCTAACAGGGAATATGGCACATAAAGGGAGTTGGGGAGCGTTTGGGGAAACTAAAATCTAAAGTTATTTGCTTTAGATATAAAATAATACAAAATGAAATTTAAGGGTTTGTTTTACAATATTTGAGATTGACCATTTTTATAATTTTATTAGGAAAATGGGGTGAAACAGGTGAATTTATACCTGCTCAGCTGATCTACAAAGGGACAACTTTTGCATGCACCTAGCCTTTGACTTTCCATTAGCTTTGCATATAACGCAAAGTCTCAACCACTGGGCTAACAGCATGACACAGCTTGAGTACACGTCAATGATTCT